TCATATCAAAATCCAGAGAAATTTACAAACTCATATACACCTTCAAGATAACAAAAAAACACTGCACTGCCCATTTAAACTGAAAGAAAAATCACAAAAAATAACTTTTGCATAGAGAAACAAAAACTTATATTCATTTTCTATAAATCTGTGATTTTCACTGAACTACAAGCTTACAATTTTCTCTGTGCGATTATGCAATATTGCACTCATATCAAAATTCAAAGAAATTTACAAATTTCTATACACCTTCAAGATAACAAAAAACACTGCACTGCCCATCTAAACTGAAAGAAAAATCACAAAAAATAACTTTTGCACAGAGGAACAAAAACTTATATTCATTTTCTATAAACTTATAATTTTCTCTGAACTACAAACTGAAAGTGAATAATTTTCTCTTAACTACAAATAGAAGTCCAGAAAAATTTAAGAACTTACATTCACTTTCTCAGATTCTATCTGCATTAGAAACTTCTAATAATGTCTATATGAACTTATAATTTTCTTTGTCATTTTCGTTGGATTATAATAACAAACTTCAATTTTCTCTGGACTATACCAACAAAAGTGTAGAGAATAAAATTTCTCTGGTTTGAAAAAATAGAGAACAAAACTTATCATTGATCAGCATGTTGATGAAAAACAGAGTACGAAAAATGAACTCTAAACATCAAAATCAACTACATTGTCAACACTCTTTGAAATTGATCAAAAAATAGAGAATCAAAAATTAATTCCAAAAATAAAAATCAACTCTATCAAGATGGCCTTTGTCTAAAATTGATTAATAACAGAAAATGAAAAATCAACTCCAAAAATCATAAACAACTTCATTGAGCTAGCCTCTCTTTTAAATTGATCAAAACTAAAAACAAAAACCTAATGCAAAAATACAAATCAGAATCCTTACATAAAATTCAAAACAAAAATCAAAATTCATGTGGAATCTTTATTGAAACCATACCTGATTCAATTATATTGAAAAACCTACGCGATCAACACACTGTAACACCTACACGATCGTCGGAATCTCTATCGTCAAGTTCACTGCAACACTTGCGAAATCCCTACGAAATCTCTGACAAAATCTCCACCGCGAAATCAGTTCCCAAAATCTCCACCGTGAAGTCAACAATAGAATATTCAGTTTGCCAAAATCCAAACAAACTTATGTTATAAAGAAGGGTAAATTAGGTATTTTATAACATAAAATAAAGTTGAGGGACCTTAGCCATCAAAACATATTATTGTGTACCTCTCCTCCGATCAAAAGTTAGGAAGGAACCTTAGACCAATTTTTCCTTTGTCAAAACATACACTTTTTTGTAATTTCCTTAATAAAACAAAATAAAGATGAAACAAAATGTCAAAGCAATGGTATACCAAAATCAACCACCACAACCATAAAGAAATTACCACAGTTATTATAGGTAATTGTAAAATTCTAAAGGTATAATGGGCAATTATTTATCAAGCTTGCACAGACCTTCTCTAGGGAATTCTACTATTTAACATCTACTTAATATCTTTGAACCCTTACCTAATTAAATGATTCTCATTTATTTTCTCTTTGAACTCTCACCTTAATTTCAACTATACCACTTTTCTTTTGGATCCAACTTTTATTCTTTATCGGCACTACTACCTTGCTGCCGTAACCCACATCATTTTTCTTCTTCTTCTTCTTCTTCATCCTATAAAATCCATCTTCGTGAGTCTCCTTCGCGAGCCCCCTTCTCTTAGGGATGGCAATATGAACCTGGCCCGACGGGGACCCGAACTCCGTCCCGATAAATAGGTTTTTCCCTGAAAATTATTCCCCATAGGGTCAGGGCTGGTATTGAAAAATGCATCCCCAATATTTTCGGGCCAGGGACGAGGATAAATTTCTCGGCTCCGACCCCGGCCCCGGCCCCGACCCCGACCCCGACCTCGACCTCGACCCAGCCCAGGCCCGATATTTTCCCGAAGGATCCCTGCGTATATACTACTTATATGTTTAGTTGTATTATATTTATATATCTGTTTAGTTGTATTATATTTATATAACTCTCACTCTCTGACTCATATACATCTCTCTCTCATGTACATCTCTCTCTGACTCTCATCTCAACTCACTCTCTCTCTCACTCTCTCGTTCTTCTCTCTCTGTCAACTCTCTCAAACACACGTCGATCCAGACCAGATCCAATGCGTCTCCACCTTCGCCAAGGTCACCATCCTCAAGAACCGCCGCTCTGACATCCTTCGTCGCAGTACCATCGCATCACTTCCTCTGCCATCCTCAAGAACAGCCGCTCCGCCGTCTTCCATCGCAACACTTCTTCTGCCATACTCCATCGCAGCACTGTCGTAGCACCTCCTCTCTCGCTTCTCTCTCTCCGTAGCACCGTGGTTTCAGCCATGTTTCGGCGTAAATCCAAGTCGATCGACATGGATCCGTGTGCGATCCATACAGATCTGTGTATATGTATACATGTATGTATGTGTGTGAGTGTGTATCAGTATTCATTTTTTTTTGTTCATCTGTTGTATATGTATACATGTGTGTGTGTGTGTGTGTGTGTGTGTGTATCAGATCTGTCCATTTTTTTTTTTGGTTGTAATGTTGTGGTTGTTGATCTGTTGGGGTTGTGGTTGTTTATTGTGGATGCTGTTTTTGTACGTGGATTTTTTGGGCTCGGGGATCCCCAATCCCCGTTAGGGGACGGGGGCAGGGAGGGTGATGGGTTTACCGCTGGGGATCGGGGACGGGGACTTTTGTGCCTTCGAGGATCGAGAATGGAGAGGGTGATCCCCAGCCCCGCCCCGTTGCCATTTCTACCTTCTCTCTTGCTATCTTGATTTGGAAAACCCATATCTCTCGTCCCATCATAGCATCAACGCTGCATCGCCATCACCATCGTTGCACCATTGCAACTGCCAAATCTCTCTTGCGACTTCTCTGTGTATATATATATATATAGGCCTATGTATAATGATGAGTTTGAAGATCGAAGCTATGAGAAAACTCCGAGCAATATATTCTGACCCAGATGCTATCGATTGTTCTTTAGACAAAGAAAAAGAAAAAAAAAAAAAGAAAGGAAAAGGGTGAACAGTGGTGTTGTGATGATGGTGGTGGATTTAGATCTAGGGTTTCAGGAAAAGAGGAGGTGGAAGAAGGAAGAAAGAAGAAAGAAGGTGAATGGTGGTGCTGCGATGGTGGCGATGGTTGGAGGGCTAGTGAAGCTAGAGGTCATGGAATTAGGATTAGGATTTGGGAAATTAGGATTGGGGGATCAGAGATGATGGTAGAAATAGAATTTTATTTTTAGACAAAATTAAATTTAAAAAAAATAAAAAAAAAAAGGATCCAAAGAAATAAGCTAGATGCTAATAGCATCCCTCTCTCTAGGCACTTCTGGCATTTTAGTAAATTCATACATGCATCTTTTGTCCTAAGCTGATGGCCGGTGGACATTTTACTATTCCGTCGAAATATTTATGAATCTAAGTGGCAAAACAGGATTACAAAAATAAAATTAAATAACAAGTGGAACTTCTATAGTAAAGCAATTCTTATATATATATATATATATATATATATTTAAGTAGGTATTTGTCATGTACTAAAAAAGTATATTTTTTATATATGTATATACTTATTTAGGTTATATCAATCAATATATCCTCTTTACTTTTTTACCTATTTTCTCTACTTTTCTACATATTTTCTTTTGTAAAAATAAAAAAATATACTTATTTAGAACATCTCAAACCTTGAAACATCTCAAATCAACATATTTAAGAATACATGATTTTGTGATAAACAAAATAAAAAATGAAAACATAACTTCCAAAATGTAAAAAATTCACAAAATATGCATTTCTTGTTTTTTTATTTTTTTAATAATTTGGATTGAAAATGTATTTTCAAAACATTTTTGTACATCAAATAAAATTTTGATTTTATTTTTACAAAACAAAACAAAATTATTATTTTTTGTATTTTGTGAAAACACCTAAATATTTTTCAACTTGCTTAGAAAATTGTGTACCATTTTTGATGTACTTTTCTTGTTTTTTTTAAATCAATGGCTGCTATTATCTTTTTTTGTTAGGAAAAAAAAAATTTAAAAGAGAAACCGATCTCTTCCAAGAATGGATAATTTATGGGTCTGTCTGCAATGGTTAGGAGCCAAGTAATATATAAATAAAAAAATTTGATATATATTTCACATATTTTTATATATTTGTTGAGAAATAACAATATAGTTGGACAATAAATTTTTTTATAAATCAATGAAAAAGTTTATATATTTTAATAATTAAAATACTATACTTTTTTATGATTTTGTATTTTTTTTGCTGTCACCACTTTGCAATTATTTCCCCTTTATTTTTTACATAATCAGTAATATTAGGAAAAATAAATGAAATTTACACATACTATTTTCTTTAGAGGGTTTGGATTTTTCCCAGTTGAGGCCCAACTATATAGACATTGTTGGGCCCTCTCCGCGACTTACTTTATGATATGAACCATTCATCATTAAATGTTTTATTGAGTAAAATATTTATGCACAAAATAAAAATATAAATCAAAGACGATTGGATATCAATGGCCGCACGATAATATCCTAATCATATTATAAAAGTTAAATATTTTATTCTCAAAATTATTTATGCTTTTAGGATAATTTTGATTAAATTATGTAATTATTAATGTCTGATCAATTTATTTATTTACATGCATGATCTTCTTAATAAGTTCTTCAAATTAAAGTTAGTGTAGCTTAATATAAGCAAAAGAAATCAAAATCACTTTTTTCTCAACTTCTAAATAATTAATTTTTTTTCAAATTATTCAAATTATTTTCACCTAATAAACTGTAAACAAAATTAAATGAAATAATTTGATACAAATTTTCACAATAAAAAGAAAAAAAGCGATATAAGCATAACAAACAAACATCAAAGAATTCGAATTATCAAGATGGCCCCAAAACAAGACCGCCAAGCCCTTTCCTTTTTCAGATGGGCCCCTTCCTTCGCTCCGCACTCTCTTTGTAGAAAATAATCTGGGAAAAAAAAAGAGAAAGAAAAAGAAAAAGAAAGAGATTTTCTTCTAAATTCACCCAAAAATCTGCCATTGGTGGCCTCCCTAGATTTCCTGAATCCAAACTTTGGTGTCCCGAGCTGACCATTCTTGGGTTTCTTGTCATTTGCTTTCCCATCAACAATATTGCAACAAAGGGTATGATCTTGACCCAATTATTATTATTATTTAAAAAAAATTTATCTGATTTTATCTCTGACAACGAGTCAATTTCTAACTGGGTTGATCCTCATTTTGTTAATGGGAGAGTAAAACAGGTTCCTAATGGTCTTTGTTGGTTTTTTCAGCCTAAATTTTGATTTTTCCCGGTTTTTTGTTTTGCATGATGAATTGAATTTGTGGAACATTTAAAAATATATGGTTTGGTCTCTGTATTGCATCTACATTTGGGTGTTTTGGATTCAAAATTGCATTTCTTTTTTCCTTTCTTCTTCTTTGTTTTTGTTTTTTTCATATTTGGAAGTGAGGATTTCTTTGTGTCATGCAAAATTGGATATATATACATATATATTTTTAATTTTTTTAAAGAAATATGGGTTATTGGAATTTAACAAATGCTTGTTCTCTAGAGATGTATGTGTTTATTAATGTTGTATTCAAATATCTAGAATTAAATGATGCTATTATTCTTGCTTCCATTATTGTGTAGATTCTTTCCCATTGCTTTGAGCTTGCATTTGTTCGCATTATCATATACATCCTGCATTTTTCATTTGATTCAATGATTGATTTTTCATTTTGTGATTGATTCTTTTAAGATTTTTGTTTGATTCGCTAATGTACATATATTTTATTTGGCATTCTTGAATTGAAAGAATTCAAAGATGATATTTTCAATCCACATGTTTTCTCATTCTCTTATTTAGATTTGGCCAGTTTGGTTTCATTTTGACATTCAATGAATTAAAAGAAACATGTTCTTCTTGTTGCTCTAGTTCAGGAATCCATTGAAGAAAATGGGTAGTTTTTTTTTTTTTTCTTTTTTTTTTAAATATTGTTGAATGAATGGTTCTAGGGTTCTAGATTATTGGCTCATGTAAAATTATGTACTCTCTCCCCTAGCATGTGCCTCTAGCCCATTTCAAATGGTTTGATCTTCTCCTTTGTTTTAAAAATTGATTTATTCTTTTTTGGGCTTCTCAAACATTAGTTATTCTATTACTAGATTGTCTTGGATAAAAAATCGAGAAGAGTGATTATTATGGCACGATTGTGTTCTCTCCTTTAAGATTTTCAAGTCCTTCCTGAGTTTCTCAGAACTGAGAAAACTGTGTTGTTCTCATTTTGGTTTTTAAATGGTCTGACATAGTTTAGATTACGTTTCAGTTTTAAGTATTTAAATTAAGTTTATGTAACTTTCTGAGCCCCCCAGAGCACAAATTTGTTAGAAACACTAGATGGTTGTTTGGATGTATCATGGAATTTGAGTCAGTCGATATTGTTTTTCATAATTTCTTATATTGGAACATAAAAGTTGGGAGTTTGACACAGACATTATGGTCACTGAAAATGAAATTGTTGTTTCATGAATCCTGTGAGTGCCAAGGGAAACAATTAGGTCCATCTAAATCTATGTTACCTGGAATGCGGATCATTCTGGTACGTGGAATAGAAATAGGAACATAGTATGTTACATGCTCTAAAATGTGGGTATCGTATGTGTATACTTGTATGGGTTACATTGTTGAAATTTGAGGTATTTCTAGAGTAATTTTTTTAACAATCAGACATTTAATAAAACATAGTCTATATCTCAATCGATCAAGTAAAAAAACATTTCTAGGAGCATTATGATGCACATTTTACATTTTATCCTGCTAATACTCCATTTTCTCTAGATTTTAGATCATTACATTTATTTATTTCTTTTAAAGACTCCTTCATGGAGATAAATAGGGAACTTTTGTGGATTTTTTTGAATTCACTATTTAGGAATGAAATTGTGCCATATTTTGGAGCATTCATACCCATATGTAAATTGCTAGTATTAGCGTGGTAACACTGATTTGAATGTTGTCAGAAACACAATGATTTCAAGGCCTCTTGCTAGAGTTCATAATGGATGGATTTGTTTGGTTTGCAAGGGATATCCAAACACCAATCACAAACTATTTTAGTTGTCTCTGATTTTGAGATTAAGATCATGATTTGACACGGTTGTTGTTGAAGTTTATGAGCATCATCAGATCCTAGAAACATGTTTTGAACCTCATTTTTCCAGGAAGACAAGCTTGTGAAGCTTTGGAACTCACCATCATAGTACTGTTGCATAATTATATTTGTTGGCGAAATGCTCTCTCTGTCTCTTTCTCATTGGTGTCATTTTCTGCAGGTTTGTTAGTTCAAAACTTCCTCAACTACTCTTGTATCTCATTTTAATGGCCAAGGAGACAATTGATATCCCGGAAACCCCAGAGAAAATTGAGCTCGAAGGTGATAATACAAGGAGGTACTCCACTGGAAACTTAATTATTTCAAAGAACGAAGTGAAGGTGCTACCTCGGTATCTCAGTGATTCGATGAGTTCGTGCCATGATTTATGCAAATATGGAATAAATACTAGCCTTGAGAAGGCAAGGAGTCTCACACCAAAACGAATAACAGCAAGATCATGGGAAGGCCAAGATCACGTTAAAGACGTAAACTTACAGGAGAGAGAGAAGAAATCAGTAATCAATCCAAAGCATTTGCCTGATTCAAAGAGCCAGACAACTGACAAACACCAAGTCATTGTGAAAGAAGCTCCCACATCAGCCAAGAAAGTAACTGTATCTTCAAAACGTTTCTCATCACCTGGTTCCAGAATGGATGTTTCTGCAAAACATGCTACTGATTTAAGGCCAAAGCCTGTCCAATCAAAGCCACCTTCATTCTTAAAAGCAGGGCATTTAAGCAGTGGAAGATACTGTAACACAAGCAAGGACATGAGGATGCCCAAATTTGGGAAGATGAAAGATTTGGTGCCACCAGCTGTTTCTTTGTCTCTGAGACCGTCTATCAAGAGGGAATTGGGTGCAAAGTCGGGAAACAGTAAGGACCTCAACAAAGTGTCTCATCTGAAAAGTCGTACTGTTAGAAAAGCAGAATCCAAGCAACCCATTAATGAAGAAGTTCCAGAGAAGACAATTTATGTCATCGAAACGCAGCCTGATCACCTAACTCAAAATGGTTGTGACACCTCTCATTCCCCTCAGTCCCTAAATCCATCCCCTGGGGACAAAAAATTGAAATGTGGTCAAATTGGGATGCATAGTTCTCGATCATCACCATCCTCTGAGAAGAAAACATTGGAACACAACCAAAATGGTAGTCAGGCCACTCAATCATGTTCATCTTCATCCTCATCTCTGTCGTCTCATAAGAATAGTTTGAGACACAACGCTCCATCATCTTCGTCTTCACTATCGTTGTTGTCATTGTCCTCATATGCATCCGAGTCTGTGAAAAGCAATGAAAGTGACCCTGTTTCTGAAGGCATTGGAACTAAAATTGAGAACCAAAAACCAAATCATGAAGTAGAAAGCACTAGCGAGCCTAGACAAGTAGAAAGAATAAGCTTGGAAGATAAAGTTGGCTCACCCCAGAAGCTAACTTTCAGGATAGGAAAGGTGGTTGATGTTCCTTCTGAGAACACTAGTCCAAGTAGACACAGATTTAAGGAAAGAGTAGTGTTAGGTGAGAACCAAATTGGCAAGGCTGATACTGAACAGAGAAGCTTGAAGAAAGTAGTTGCTATTGATGAGTTAAATGGTTCTGAAACTGAAACAATGAAAGTTGTTCTTAGACACCAGGCTGTAGAAGTAGAAAAAAGGAGAGGCCAACAGCGTTTTTTAAATAATGTGATTAAAGAGACTGCAAGCAAGCTTGTCGAAACCAGGAAGAGTAAGGTTAAGGCTTTGGTGGGTGCTTTTGAAAGCCTAATCTCCCTCCAGGATAGCAAATCCTCGGCAACAATTAATGCATCTTGAGTTGCTAAAGGTTAGTCTCTCGTTATGTCCATGTAGCGATTCTGTATATAAATTTTGGTAGATAATTGATGATTTGAAGATAACATGGGACTGAAAGTTACATGATTTTATGACAACATAAATCAGAGGAAGATCCATTCAAGTTGAGGACGCTTGGATGAGACACTGGCTCGTCTGTGTTGTTCTGCACATCTGCTCAACGGTGCATTACTCATTAATTTAATTTTTATATTATCTTTTTTACTGAATCTTTTTATACTTAATGATAGGCAATTTTCAACCTGCACGTATATTGTTCAATGAGTAGTTCATGTAGCTTTTTGAGATTGTTGTTATTTTCCTTTCTTTGGAATGTATTAGAATTATTTGCTGTTTCAACATTGAAATCATGGTGTAAGTGTGCTATGTATAGTTTAGCATACAGGGACTGGAAGTTTAGAATCCAAAGGAGATTTAGGAATCTGAATAAATATACAGAGAATGTATTGAATGTTTGACTTTTGAAATAAATGAAACAAGCTTCAAATAGTTGAGAGATGATATTATGGTAACGTAAACAATGCTGGGGAAGCTTTCTATGTTGTATGCTATACTTAATTAGACAAACATCACCAATGAATTTCACACGAAAAATTCCTTTGGATCCGTGATGATAAGTATCATCCATGACAAACTAAGAAGGATGGACACGGACATGTAGCATGATAGAGAATCACACTCTTTTCTTGGATTGAAATCTGAGTAGTTTTTGCATTTCTATTCAAAGCATGTATGTAGTTGGTTGTTCTACAACCAACCCACAATAGTCTCTACAGGATGGCACAATGGTCCCCATGAGTTATGACCATAGCATACATGTGGTGCACATTGAGATGGCTAGGTCCACTGTGATTGCACAAAATCAAACACTACTTTTAGCATGAAAGGAACTGGTTTTCTTTACTCCGTTCTGTACAAATTTAAAATCCAAACATAACCTAATTGTTTTTCTCTTGCATGTGAAAAATGAAACATGAGATGAAAAATGCTTAGGAAAAGAAAACATTAATATATTCCTTTCATTAATTTTTCTTTATAAACCAATATTGAAATATATATATATATACACATAACTTAAATTTAACATAAATTAAAAGCAATCCCCTCTATAACTTTTCGATAATCATTTTTTTCGACTTATTGAAACTAGTTTTACTTCATGAGTTGTATGTAAAAACTCTATCAAACACACTGATACATATTTCCCCAATTTAAAAAAATAAGAAAAAGAAAAAGGGAAAAATTTATTACCAGCCCAACAAACACCAAAACTTTTCCTAGCTATTAACATTTTGGGTCAACGAGGCAAGCATCTGTGACATAAATATAAAAATGCCAATTTAGATATGTGTCCTTTAACCCCCTTGAACATGGCTTGATGGCAAAGGCTTGCTTGTTGGCTGTGTTGTTTGATTGACTTGTTGATGGTAAATTGCCGCCATCTTGTTGTATAGGTCCATATTCATAGACTGCATTCATTCAAAACAATGCATCAATTCATTAGAGAAAACTTTATCCCCCGGAGGGAAGTAGGTATCCTGTAGGATATCGTGCGATCTAGATTCCTCTTTAGGGTAGGAAGCAAAGATGCTTCCAACCACCCCCCTAAAAAAAAAGAAGCTAATCTTAGGATTTTTTTTTATTTGAAAGCATGCATGAGTGGTGTATTAATTTCTTTTTCTATGGGTGTGCTTAGAAACAACTTCAAAAAGAATGACTTTCAGAGAATTGATCATTGGTAAATGTCTTTAGTACTGCAAATAAGTTTGCCCCATCATCAAAATTCTATCCCTGTCCCCAATGCACTCTATTCATATGATTGTATCTCGAGAATCTTGCCATATCATGCAGTTAGAACTGTATTGGAGATAAATATAAGGATTTTGAGACAGGATCCTAGCCCTACTACTAATCTCTAAAATTGACTTTTCAACCTCCCTCAAAGGCAAGAAAGACTTACTATGTCTATGTGATAAAATGTTATTGAATAGTAATATCACGTTTCAGTGATAACGTGATATCACTGCTGTATTGATTTATTTATTTCTTTTACAGAAAATAGAGCCTAAGGCTTGCCTGATTCCATCCCCTTACCACCTCAACCAAGGCCCTGTGGAGGCCTTTAAAACTCATTAAAAGCTTCTTGTATTGGCTTACAATGACTATGAATCTAGAAACTAAACACATAATTGAACACAAAAAACATATTGATAGACAAGATTTTCTAGAAGTAGACCACCAACAAATATTGTAAAATCTTGTTCATTCATATATTTTTTGTGTTCAATTCTATGTTTACTAATCCTTTAAAAGTATGGGGCAACCAGCAATCATTCTTCCTAAAGTTGCTTCCAAGCCCACCTCAATAATGTGTTCAATTTTCACTTACTTGAGCTAGAAATGCACAGTAGGGATTGTTAAAAGGAACTGAATTGTTGATAGCTGCATCTGAAGTTGCCTGTGCCTGAGTGTGGCTTGGCATCATGGGAGGCAACACAAAGGGAGGGGGAACAAATGTGGGACCGGCTGTGACCGCTGCAGCCACGGTGCCCGGATGGAGGAGGGGAGAGAGAGACTGAGGCCGAGCCACGGTACTCATGTCGAGCATCCCCATTGGGCCCATTCCCAGCCCAAGCCCAACACCAAGGCCCATACGGGCCAGGAGAGACATGTGGATGTGTTGCTGCATTCCTAGTGGCATCATCATCTGTTGGGGCATGTTTCTTGCACTACTCATCATCTGAACTTGTGCTTGTAGTTGCTTCAAGTACGCAATCACCTCATCAAGCATTGATGCTTTATCAGTCTGCAAATTTGCAATCAAAAAAATATTTAAAAAAAAAATAAAATTAAAGAGATAAAAGCACATAGCTTTTTTACTCATATGATCATGCTAAGAAGAATAGAGACTTGTAATAAATATAACAAACTATATGTATCATGTCTTACGTTTGTTTAAAATTTATTGTATCAACGTATTCATATTGTGTCATGTGTTGTGTCTCTATTCAAGTTTTTGTTTCTTAGTGATCATAGTAACAAAATGAAATCAAAATTTCTCACCTTACTTGCATTTGGTACAAGCTTCTGCAGAGCTTTCATTTTCTGATTGATCCTATCTCTACGTCTCTACAGCAAAGTTAATAAATTAAATTTCCTTAAACCAAAAACCAAAAATAAAAAATAAAAAATTAAAGTTTTTAATATTAATAATTAGATATAATATAATATTACCCTTTCAGACTGATTATGTACAGCAGCAGCTCGACATCGCCTTGTTGAGTGGGACCGGCCTGTTTCCCCTTTCATTTCCCGCTCTTCATCTTGGTTTTCCTATTAATAAAATTTTAAGTAAAAATTTAACAGATGAATAAAAATTTTCAAATATATACATAAAACTAAAGAAGAAAGAATTAACATAACCTAGTATGTGAAGTTCACTTACTGAAAATAGTATGCTAAAAAAAAAAAAAGCAATTAAAAACAAAAATAAGTCCAAAAGAAAATATCTTGATTTATAAGTTGCAACCAAAAGAATCCTAAATAAATTCTCCCAAAATTTATAGTTGCAACTACAATGTTTAAAAAACTACACATGTACCTAAAAAAATAAAGGCACTTATGAACCACATAGTTTTATTTCCTATGTACCTAAAAAATATATATATATATATATATATACACATAAACTTTTTACTTATGAAGGTGCCATATAAAATAGACATTCACAATTTTTTTTAAACACGATTATTAATTTATAGACTTATTTCCTAATCCATGCCAATGACTAAAATTTAAGCCATGACAACATTTTTAGTAATAATGTTAATATCTATCGATTTGTATTAACAGTTACGCTTTTTCTACCGATTCACCATTACAAGCTGAATCCTCATCCGTGGTTTTAGTCTTCAAGCTTTGAGGAGGGGATTCGAAAGAAGCCCATGTCATCATAGTTGTGCCACTATCCTTAAAAATTGTCGCACTAGCACAAGCACTTCTATCGTCTTGAATACCACTAGCAAATTTTTTTTCGGATTCTGACCACATCCGCTTCTTCGAGAATCCTGGAGACATCGGCATGTGTCCCACGGTTTCGGCACATTTTTTGGCGGAGGAGGTCGTCCTGTTTGGAGCCGGATTATGATGATGCAGATGGTCATGTGGAGGAAGTAGATTTAGATTTTGTTGGTGGCATGCAGCTAGATGGACTATGGATTCCAGCGTGTCGCCGGTCCTACCCCATGTGGGCTTTGTCGGGGCTGTGGGAAGGAGCCCACCAAGCCCATGCATGGCTAACTGCCCATTTTCCCATGTTAGCTCTGTAACTTCAAAATTAGACCTGAATTTGTGTACTCAAAAAAATAAATAAATCACATGAGTTTCAAGTATTTATAGTCTGAGTTAAAGCATTTATGAAAACCAAAAAGATACTAAACTTACTGTTAATAGAAATCATTAAAACAAGAGTAGGTAAGCAATATTAATTGTTTAATGTTCCCTAAACAAATAAATCATAATTCTAATTAAAAAAAGATTATTCAAGCAGGAAAATCATTGAGAAGAAAATTGAAAAGGTTTGCTAATTAATTTGATAAAGTAGGAAACCTTTTTATACAAGCAAAGAAATTGTAAAGAAGATTACATTAAACCGCTGAAAAGTTGGATTTCCACAAACTAATATATTTTGTGAACAACAAATGAAAAGGATTGACTTCTTGTTGGCATGAATCAAGTTGAAAGACACAGAAAGCAAAGATGGAAGAAGTATGGATATGGATATGGATACAAATACAGACAAATATACGGATACGGACAAAAGATACGAATACGGACACAAGACACGGTGATTTTAAAAAAAATAGGACACGGCAGGAATACGGAAATAAAATATATTTTTATTTACTATCTAGGTTAATATCACATTCATAAATAATCAATATTAACTAAAATAACTCTAATTCTATATTGGGTAAATTACACTTTGCCCCCCCCTAAAGTTTCACCCATTTCCCACTTTGACCTTTTAAGTTTGATTTTTTCCTACTTTAACCCTTCATGTTTGCAATCCTTCCCACTTTACTCCTAAACTAACTTTCTTAAAAAAACTAGCAAAATCTACCACATCACCAACACATCAGCTCCATATGTGATGTAAAAAATTCACTAAAGATGTAAAAAATGAAAAATAGAAAACAAAAAAATTAGAATTTTTTTAGTCTTTAGTGAACTTTTTTTCAAATTTATTCATAAATATTATTATATTATAGATGCATTTAGATTAGATGCACCAAAAAAATAAAAAATAAAAACAAGTTCAACTGAAAAAATAAAAAAATTCACTGACGGGAAAAAAAAACGATAATAATTTTTTCATTTCAAAATTGACAATACAGGTGTTTGAGTCAATATATTTTTATTTTCTTCATCTCTAGTAAACTTTTTTCTTTTTGAGTTAAATTTGGTTTTATTTTTTTAAGTGCATCTAATCTAGATGCATCTATAATCTAATAATGTTTATGAATAAATTTGAAGAAAAAATTTTCAGAATAATAAAAAAAAAATTTCAATTTTTTTGTTTTCTATTTTTCCTTTTTTGCATTTTTAGTAATTTTTTATATCACACATGGCGTTGATGTGTTGGTGATGTAACAGATTCTGTTAGTATTTTGGATGAAAGTTAGGAGTGGTTTGGGATGTTTTAAATAAGTGTACTTTTTGATTTTTTATTAAAAAAAATATGCAAAAAAGTAGTGAAAGTTGTTAGAAAAGTAGAGAGAAAATGTTGATAGATGTTGATTGTTGTGACCCAAATAAATGTACATATGTTAAAAAAAATGTACTTTTTTAGTTCTTTCCAAACACCGTTTGGGAAGAAAGTTTGAAGGCTTTTTTGGCTATTTTAGCCACAAAAGACAAAATAGGCTATTTTAGCCACAACCAACAAAACATCACATCAAACCCATAATCATTATACTCTTCTCTCACAAAAAAAGTCAAAAAAGTCAAAAAGCTCTTTCCAAACCAAGCTTTTTAACCCAGGCTAAAATAGCCAAAAAAGTCAAAAAGTCAACCCACTTTCAAAACCAAGTGGGAAGGATTGCAAATGTGAAGGGTCAAAGTGGAAATGATTGCAAACATGAAGGGCCAAAATGGAAAAAATCAAACTTAAAGGGCTAAAGTGGGAAAAATCAAATTTAAAGAGCCAAAGTGGAAAATAGATGAAACTTTAGGGGGGGCAAAGTGTAATTTATCCTTCTATATTTTTTTAATAAAAAAAACATTTTTAAATTAACACTTATAGTTTATATATATTTTTTATGAATGATCTATTAAGTATTTAAATTTAAAAAAATAATAACAAACATTCAACATTAATCAAAAGTACTAAAGAAAATAGGAGAAAAGACAACTTGTCATATTCTTAGTCTGTCCCCGAAGTGTCTCCGGCTTGTTCTTTAAAAATAAATTAATTAAATAAAACAACATGTCATATGGCGTGTCTCCCTACCATGTTCGCGTGCTCTTGAAGTACCTGTGTGTCTGACACGAATACGAGACTTATTTTGAAGCGTCGGTGCTCTATCAGCAAAGATATCAAGAAATGCAACAACGTACTTGTGTGATGTAGATGAACTCAGAACACTAAAATGAAAAGAAAATTGAATCTTCTTCAATAAAATAGAAGAGAGAGAGAGAGACCTAAAAGAAACCGAAGAACTTAGTAAAATAACAATTGTTGAGAATGGTGATTAACATGCTTATTCGAAGATTATTCATAAGGACTGTAGTAATAAAATTTATGAAGTAAAAAGAATATGGATTCACGGGTATTTAAGATTTGTTCATAAGATCTTATATTGAATGACAAAGTAAGCCGATGTAGAAGAAAGTAAGCCGATGTAGAAGTAACAAAAGAGGGATTTCTCGGATCTACAAAAGCTTGAGAAAGAGAAGAGTAGAATAGAGTTTAACATATATAGTTGAAAGGTGGACAAAAATATATTTTACAAGAAAGAAGAAAAAATGAAAAACTAAGAGCAGAGTAAGCATGTAGATAATTTCTTGAGAGACACAGAAATTTGTGTTCTCTTCACTTTCCTTAATAGTGAATGGACAAACTAATTGAGATTCCCCTACCAGAGAAAGAGAACTCCATAAGCAAAAACAAAAAGAAGAGAGAAATCACATGTTAGTAGCATGGTTTTAGATAATCACATTGAGATACTTATCGGCATCAGTAATATATATATATATATATATTAGGAAATATCAGACAATATCGATCGAGATATCTGCCGATGAATACCAGTATCGAAAATTGAAATCAGTAGTAGAGGAAAGAGAATCAAAAGAAACTTAGGAGTTGTGGGTAGTGCATACATAGGGACAATATGAGGTGTAGTGAGGTTGTGAAGATGGCTGTGCACGTGAGAGGATGTTTTCTCCTCTTCACCTTCAACTTGTTCTTGTCTTTGGTGCCTTGGATTCCAATTATGCACTATGCACTGATTCATGATTCCTTTCATGCTCTCTCTCTCTCTCTCTCTCCTAGTTAAGAGGAGCTTGAATTTTGAGTCTGGATTATCGCTCTCATATTGTTTTCTGGGGTCCCCTCTTGGAGGTCCCCTTGGTTTGGTAGAGATTGTACACAAACATGTGGTAGCAAGAAAAGCTTGAGAGGGAATTGGATATAGATTGGCTCCCATATCCAGCAGCCTTTATTAAGGGTATCTATGTCATTTCAAAATATACCCATCAATTATTATTTTTTATAATGTTTTTCCTAAAACACAAGAATGTGTATAGTTATGTCTTTTTAGTGGGGTCATTGTAATTTTAAGTTTCCATTGTTTTTGTTTTTTGTGTTTTCTGAAAGCAAAATTACAAAATTCAAAAACTCCAATTGTTTACGATCAATTTTATTTTTGTGCAAAAACAATTTTACTTCCAAACAACGAGAGGTTCAAAATATTTATTAAAAAATAATTTTTGAATAAATGAGAAAGGCCCATAAAGTAGAGTACACTCACTAACCAATTAGGCTACCTCGTAGATGTCATTTTACATCAATTTTAATTAAAAAATATAAGAAATTCTAAAAATTCTATCAAAATTTTTATCAAATATCTCAGAATGTGGGACTCACATCCACGTAAAACATTTAGTAAAAATTTTAGTAGAACTTTTAGAGTTTCTACCATTAGTTATTTTAATTGGAATCGTTAAATTATATACTTGGCAAACATATCTTACGATGATAAAAATAAAAAATAAAATTATTAAAAAAATTATGATAGATGAACCGACTCAGTTGGTTGGCCATTTAAAAAGGCATTAAATACAAGATCATTCTTGCTGCATAAAATTCAAGGTTTTAAGGGGATGATTGCCAACACATGTCCACCAATTGTTATCATCAACCATCGCAATTAATTTCCTCTATGGAGATTGTATTTGAATTATAAAATTAAATAATAATTTAAAAAAAAAGAGTGTTGCTATTAGTATTTGTTAAAATTTTTTGGACCTCTCATTTTATAATTTTTTTTATTACAATTATACCCTAAAGTAAAATTACATTAAAAGATTTAAGGGGATGATTGCCAACACATGTCCACCAATTGTTATCATCAACCATCGCAATTAATTTCCTCTACGGAGATTGTATTTGAATTATAAAATTAAATAATAATTTTAAAAAAAAAGAGTGTTGCTATTAGTATTTGTTAAAATTTTTTGGACCTCTCATTTTATAATTTTTTTATTACAATTATACCTTAAAATAAAATTACATTAAAAGACATTATGAAATGGAACACCCACCTATCAATAATAACTAATACTCTATAATATTAGACACCCACCCACACCCCGCCTCCAACTCTAACTATACGTATTTTATCCAACTCCAACTCCAACTCCAACTCCAACTATACGTATTCCATGTTTGTAAACCCTAAATCTATTACTTTTCATAACCAATTAACATAAATCCTAAATCTATTATTTTTCATAATCATCTTAAATCCTGAATGTGTCATCTTCATCACCATCATCAACGCTATTGAACATGAAAGTTTTACTTCAAGTATAACGTATACTTCATCACTTATTTCATTGTGTAGAGCAATGGAGGACGATGACAACATTCTCGGTCGTTTATCTATCTTGTATTAACATTCTCAGTCGTTCTCGGTCGTTCTTGTTTCGTTCAAGTTGTTCGGTACTGGTTTGCTGACTGTTACAATTATGTTCGGTAACACAGTACTGAACATAATCCTTTCGTTCAATACATAGGTTCCGAACATTAATGCAGATAGTCAATTATGTAATTTTCTTTGTTAAACTAACTTAGAATGGAAAAGAGTGAATTGGAATGGATTTAAGTTATGTATTTTGAATAGATTTAATTAATGTTATTTTAAGTTGTGAATTAGAATGGATTCAAGTTACACAGTGATGAACAAATTTTGTTCGGACATACAGTGCTGACGGGATCATTATTGTTCGACAAAACAGTTTTCAACAAAATACATTTTTTCGACTACACAGTGGTGAACAAATTGGGTGGGTGTGCATTTCATTGTGAAAATATGGAGATTAGTTTTCTATTATGAAAATATTATGGAGATTAGTTTTCCATATATATATACATTGTTTTCTATTCCTGCAATTCGCATCAATCTTCACTTTCTCATCTGAATTTCCCAATCAATGGCAAATTCCAAAGAGACCAACGTCGTCGAAATCCTAATCAACGAAGAACACCAACCCCACAAGTAAATGCATTGTGTTTTTAGGAACCACTTTTTAGATGTGGTTAATGTTGGAGAGAGAAGAGAGAGAAAAAACTAGGGTTTTGAAGGGGTTTTGAGAGAGAGAGAGAGAAAAGAGAGAGAAGAGAGAGAAAAATCTTCACTTTCTCATATGAACAAAAGGGGTTTTGGGAGAGTGAGAGAAAAGAGAGAGAAAAGACATCACTGATGAGGAGAGAGAGAGAGAGAGAAGAGAGGGAGGCAGAGAGTAGGTGTGGTTGGGGGTGTGAATTGCGTGCATATGTTGGAATGGATTCAGGTGGGTGTGCATTTCATTGTGAATATGGGTATATTTGGTAATAAGTGGGATGTCCAAAAAAATATTATTAAAATTTAGGGTTTAGGGTTAGGGTTCAAAGAAATGGGGGGTCTAAAGAATTTTGGTAGGTGCTAATAGCAGCACTCAAAAAACATAGATGAAATACAAGTACATCTCACCTACATTTTTTAAATTTTTATCCAAATCAATGATTTGAACACAACTGAATGATTTAAGGGGAATTTTTTTTAAGGTCCCTAATAATAGTAATTTAGAGGATAAAGGACACCAAAAAAAAGAGTGATGCATTAGGTCCTTGAACAACATGACGCACATTTTTAATTATTTCGTGGACCAAAATACCCCTCACAAAATCAACACAGAGACGAAACTGATTCCGACGACTGAGTTCCATTCCAAGCATCCGACCATCTTCACGAACAAGAGAACAACAGAACTAGGGTTTCAATATCATCTTCACTATCGACATTAGAGCTTCGTTATCTTCTGTAAAAATCATTCCCATTCCTTCCTCACAAATTTCTCTGACCTCGTTTTCACTGTTCATTATTCATCGTCATCTCAGTTCATCTTCGTCACGTCGCATCTTTATCTCAGGCCATATCAGCTCGTCATTCAAGTTTCATCCTAACTCTGGTAAGTTTTTATACAATACAACCAGATTTTCTCTGAAAACACAGTTAATTGCATTTTATATTAACCTTCCACAAATTAGGGTTTCAATTTCGTAATAAAAAACTACCTGAACTTGAAAAAAGTTATTTATGTGTGTTTTGAACTTAATCTTGAACATGTTTGTGTAATTTTATCTGTAAATTTCTCTGACATTTGTGGAATGTATGTTTCTTCTTTGAATTTTCTCTGGCATTTTTATTTTTAAAAAAAGTTATTTCTCTATGTTTTGATCTTATTCTTGAACATGTCTCTGTGATTATGTCTATAAATTTCTCTGGAATATGTATTTTTCTCTAGAATGTCTATTACTCTCTTGTTTGTGTCTAAGTTATAATTTTCTCTGGCTACATCACTTTTCTCCCTTGTGTGTCTCTATCATGTTTAATTTTCTCTGGTTGTGTATGTAAATTTCTCTGGCATTTTAATATTATGGACTGGAATGTATGTTTCTTCTTTGAATTTTCTCTGGCATTTTTATTTTTAAAAAAAGTTATTTCTCTATGTTTTGATCTTATTCTTGAACATGTCTCTGTGATTATGTCTATAAATTTCTCTGGAATATGTATTTTTCTCTAGAATGTCTATTACTCTCTTGTTTGTGTCTAAGTTATAATTTTCTCTGGCTACATCACTTTTCTCCCTTGTGTGTCTCTATCATGTTTAATTTTCTCTAGTTGTGTATGTAAATTTCTCTGTCATTTTAATATTATGGACTTGAAATTTTCTTTAGAATGGAAATTTTCTCAAGAATGTGTAATTTTCTCCGGAATGTGTAATTTCCTCTGATATGTTTATTTTGTTCAATTCTTGGTTTCAATGTGGTATAATTTTCAGTGGCATGTTTACATTACTTTGTTTATTTTATTTTGCTAATTGTGGAATGAAAATTTTCTTTGGCTTGCCATGTTTACTTTTCTTTGTCATTCATTTTCTGTACTTGCTAGATATATGTTTCATTTTTCAATTTTCTCTGGCTATATTTTACTTCTATATGTAATTTTAACAATTATTGAAAATTTCTCTACCATGTTTATGATGCTTTGTTGATTTACTTTGGCAATGAAAATTTTCTGTGGCTAGATGTATTCCACAGGAAAACAATTAGTACTCTGACATTTAATTTTTAGTATCTGATTTTGTCTGACATTTATAATTTTCCCTAGCCACCTTAGTTTTCTCCCTTATGTGTAATTTTCTCTAACATGTCCAGTTTTCTCTGGCATGTTTAATTTTTTCTGGGATTTAATGTTGACATCTTTATGTATTCATCATTGTCTAGAAATGACAAAACGTAAAAGCAGCAAAACACCAAGCAAGAAACATAAACTCTCTCAGTCTTCTTATGATCTACGATAAAAAAACCAGCAGCAAAACACCGGAAATGCCAAGCAAGAAACATAAACTCTCTCAGTCTTCTTATGATCTAAGATAAAAAAAACTAGCAGCAAAACACCGGAAACACCAAACAAGAAACAGAAACTCTCTTGGTCTTCTTATGATTTAAGATAAAAAACTAGTAGCAAAACACCACTAACTCCTTGCCAAAACACACAAGTCCAAGGTGATGAAGCAACTACCATCAAGATGAGTACCCCAACTTCAACAAGCACAAGCTCAAGGGGGGAAAAAACCTGTTAAATTCCAAAGAAAGAGAGCTCACTACAACATTCAATACCGATCCAACCTCTCATCTGTTGTCTCATTTTTTCAAACACTTAAATTCAATTCAAACCAACTTGTAGAGCTTCAAAAGACCTCATTCTGGTATTTGATCCAAACTCTAACCACTAGAAGGATGGATCCAAGGAAATCTAGGAAATCTGAAAA